GGGATATAATGATGGTTGTTTGTGTATATTGTAATATTTCTTATATTTGTTGGAATTATATTATTTTTAATTCTCACTTAGTAAGCACACACTTAACTGTTTGTATACACTATCATAAATTGGTTTTGGTTACTGGGACTTTTGAGTCTCATTATGTGGTTAACAATTTTCAGGAGAAGAGCCACGAGTGACACGTGGAGGAGTCCCAGAGGCTTAGTGGTATAGATCCACTGTCTCTTTTGGGTATTTAATTTATGATTTATAATGTGTTATATTGCCAATATTAGGGCTTTTTGTTTATTGTCAATTATATGAATATATAAATGTAATCATGCCTTTCAAACTATTTCTATTTTTGGTACAATTTGGATGACTGTAATTTTAATATTAGGTTTACTTTGAATTGATTAAAATGGCATGATTATAAGGCCAAATAACTGGCTTGTGTTGAAAATTGACTAAATTACTTATTTTACTTTTTGGGAGTATAAGGATGGACAAATGTGATTTAGTTTACTTGTTGGGAGTATAAGGATGGACAAATGTGATTTAGCCTAATGGCATGTGGGAGGTAAAAATTTATCTGAAATGTTATAGTGTGTGAGTTGAAGCCAATTATAAAGTATTTTATATTGAAATTATTGATATAAAAATGTGTTGGGTGGCTGTAACCCAACTATGGTTGAGTTAAATTATTTAAAAAAAAAATTTGGTGTGTTACAATTTTGGTATCAGAGCTACATATTTTAAATTCTTATAAATTATGAAATTGTTATACATTAATCTAGTTTATTGGCAATATACATTATTAAATCATAATACTTTTCCATTATTTTTCTTGTCTTGAGATTAGTGTTAATTTAATTATGTGACTTCCATCCTTTTAGAGGGGAGAGATGGTGTCCAAAACTAGGAGAGGTGGTGAAATTGCCGGTGATTCTATAGAGCCAATAGGAAATGACATACCTTCACTGCCATAACCGGAGCCCACACAGCAACAAATTGGGCAGGGCGAGCCTATACAGTCACAACTAAGGCAGGATGAGCCAACTATGAGGCAAATGATGGATTTACTATATAATCTTAGTGACCGCATGAAGAGACAAGAAGAAGAGTTGGCCGCTTTAAGACAATATAAGGAGAATTCCAACCGAGAGGGAAATGGCCAACAAGAAGGAAGCCATACCAAGGTATTTAATGCGAGCCAATCTGCTGATGAAGGCTCACCTCCCTATTCTCACCATGAGACTAGTTCGAAGAATGTGAGTCTTCACTCTGAGCAACAGACATCCACGATCACAAAGATCTGGAGTACTTTTCGTAAGTTTAATCCTCCTACTTTTAATGGAAATCTTAAGCCAGCGGTGGTTGAAGAATGGATAGATCAATTGGAGAGTATTTTTCGTATGGTTGTGTGCACTTCTAATCAAAAGGTGCAGCTGGCAATATTCCTACTACAGAAGAGTGCTAAGAAATGATGGGAAACATCAGGACCGAAGGATGATTCCTCTCTTACTTGGGAAGATTTTAAAGCCATATTATTCGAGAATTATTTTCCTACTGCACTGAGAGCAGAAAAGGAGGCTGAGTTTCATGCATTTCGTCAGGGTGATCTAGATGAGGATGAATTTATTGAACAATTCTCAGAATTATCTAAATACTCTACTTACCTCCAGAAACATGAAGACACGGAGTGGATGGCTGAACGATTGCTAGAGAAGGCGAGGCCTGATCTAAGGGAACAGTTAGCCCTTTTTGAGATCAAGACATTCAGTGAGATGTGCAATAAGCTTCGAATAGTTTCTCGGAGGAAGAGAGAGGCTAAATTAGAAGCTGATAGAGAGAGGAGGATGGACAAATTAATTTTTATTATAGATCCACTGTCTCTTTTGGGTATTTAATTTATGATTTATAATGTGTTATATTGCCAATATTAGGGCTTTTTGTTTATTGTCAATTATATGAATATATAAATGTAATCATGCCTTTCAAACTATTTCTATTTTTGGTACAATTTGGATGACTGTAATTTTAATATTAGGTTTACTTTGAATTGATTAAAATGGCATGATTATAAGGCCAAATAACTGGCTTGTGTTGAAAATTGACTAAATTACTTATTTTACTTTTTGGGAGTATAAGGATGGACAAATGTGATTTAATTTACTTGTTGGGAGTATAAGGATGGACAAATATGATTTAGCCTAATGGCATGTGGGAGGTAAAAATTTATTTGAAATGTTATAGTGTGTAAGTTGAAGCCAATTATAAAGTATTTTATATTGAAATTATTGATATAAAAATGTGTTGGGTGGCTGTAACCCAACTATGGTTGAGTTAAATTATTTAAAAAAGAATTTGGTATGTTACAACAGCCATAAGGACCGGCACTATAGGGGCCAAAGTCAGAAAAGCAAGTTTCACAAGGGCTATTTCCATGAGAGCTCTCTCCTAAAGGGCTCTCTCCACAGGAGCCTTGCAACAACTAAATTTTACAGAATTAGTCCTTAAAGTCTAAAAACTCGAAGGGCTAATTCCAGAACCAGCTCTTGAGGTCCTAAACCTTGAGAAATTTAATCCTAAGTTAGACCACATGGTCCTTAATCCTTAATCATAAGGGTGTCCTTCAAGAAAGTACCAGATCAATTATTAATCAAAATGAGAATGAGTCAGTCCTTCAAGATATATCCATACAAAATTGACTTACGAAGACTCTGGCCAATTTGTATGCAGGGGCCATTGTTTGCACCTAAATTGTGAACATGGAGGCCCTGGCCTAACTCAATTTAATTGGATTTAAAATAATTAAATGAAAGAAAAAATATTTATGAAATCTTAGTCATTAGGTCAAGACTATCACTCATGATGAGTGAACATGATGGAAGAAGTGCTTCCTAAATTCAAGAAAATTGACGATCATGAGGCTTGGACACCAAGCTAGGATCATTTATAAATAGAGAAGCTCTTACTCAATAATCAGAATCAATATCAACAAACTACCAGTATCAGACTCTGCATCTGTTACTTTATTTTTCTTTTTATCATACAGCTTTTGTCTTTATTTTTCATTGTACGGCCATCATAGCCCGCCACCCTTTTTCTTTAATTAATGTATCTTTGCTTATTTGCATCCACGTTAATGATCTTCACTTTGCATTCTTACATTCGGATGAATTGTGGTAAGGGAGCTCGGGTTCCTCGCGTTTGATTAGGAGTTAAGTTCTTTTATCCCTTTGAGACCCTGCGTCTCTGGCACACCTTGCGACACCATGCCTCAATTGTTTGTTTTTTAGACATGAAATAGTCGAAGGTTATCTATAAAATAACTAGACGGTTTCTCATGCATTGCACGGGTTAGAATTTAAAAATTTAAAACAAATATAATTGATGCCATTGATATTAACACATCTAATATGGCTAAATTTTTAAGAATTCTTCTATTCAATTATTTTTCTTCTTGAATATTATTTATATACATCTTGTCTTTATTTCTCGAGCTTTATGGTAAAAAACCTGTCTAGAAAATACTTGTTTTTAGAGTGCTTAGAGAATATTGGCAAAAAAAAAAACTTCTTTAGAATTCTCAACACCCCTCATTTTCGATTACGTAAAAAATTAGACACTAATTTAGAAATTATGATATAAATTATATTTTCATAAATACAGATATAAGAAAGAATCCATAGAGATCCCTCTTTTTTTTAATTGTATTTTATTCTTTTGTATTTTTTGATTCCTATTCTTCTTCCTTCTTTTTTAAATGTGCAAAACAAAAGGGCTATCAAAAATATACTTCTACCACTCAAGTTTTTTCTATTTATAATAATTAAGTAGTTGTTGCGTTATTTTGTCAGCGCCAAATGTATGGTGAAATATGCATAGTTTGAAGAACCAAGACCACGAAATAAGAATTGATGATCCAAATTAAATTTAAACTTCTTTTTATTTCATTTTTTCCTTTTTATAGATAATTTTTATGGATTATAATTGATGAGAGTTGATTGATATTGAATACAAAGAATCAAAAAAATATATAAAAATAGAAAAATAAATTAAATCTCACTAACTAGGAAAATTGAAAAGGTAAAGGAAAATATAACGAATGTAGAAGGATAATCGAATGGAGTTAATGCTAATGATTAGAAAAATTTAAAAATAAAATTGCTCTTGAATCAATGCTTCCGTGAAAGTAGACTAAAGATATATGAAAAATAGGAAAAACAAATTAAATTTCATTAATTAAAAAAATTAAAAAGGCATGAAAAAGTACAACGAATGAAGAAGGATAGTTGGATGGAGTTAATGCAAATGATCACAAAAATTTAAAAATGAAACTGCACTTAAATCCATACTCCCATAAAAGTAGATTGAAAATATATGAAAAATAAGAAAATAAATTAAATCTTATTAATGAATCAAGAGAAATTTTTATATTAACATTATTCTAAAATCTATTAATCAATGAGAATCAATTTTTTCTTGACCAATCAAATTGAAGCTACAATATTCCTCTATATGTATATATATATTGATTTTAGTGTCTGCTTTTCTTCTATTTATTTTTTTAAAATAAAAATGTTATTTTTTCTTAAAAATATGAAATTGATTTTACAAGATATAAAAAAAATTTCTATCAAATTATTATTTATTTTGTTTATTACCTGAAAAAAGATCTAATTTATTCATTGAAAAAAATATAATTTTGAGTACATTATATATTGTTAATATTAAGTATATTATAATATTATATCTTTAGTTGGTTATTATGACATGATCTCAACTATTGAACCATGAAAGATGCGACCTAGTGGCATTTTTAGTTTAACATTAACCAGAGCTTTAAAACATTTTTAAACTTTATTAGAAAAACGAGGAGTATGATTTACTCATAATAATTAAAAATAACTCGACCTCTAGAATGCCACAATGAGGAATATACATCATGGAGCACCATATAAGAACAAAAGAGCATCTAAACATCCAAGCAAGCTACAACGACAGAATCCAGTACACGACCGTTTTGCTATATATTTTCCATGCACTTCTTTGTTCTAACACACGCACCCCCGTCATTTTATCTCCTGTTAAACTCCTTCATTCTCTCTCTCTCCCCCTCTCACAAACAAAGAGCAATCGTTGCAGAAATGGAAGCCAAAATTTTAACAATGAGCAGAAATCCAACAGTAACTGCAGCACATCGGAAGTTCAAACATAAACCAGGATATCCCTCTGTGGTTGGAGTGCTCACAAGACCTGCAGATGACATTACGGAAGAAACAAGAAAAACCAATGTCTACAAAGACAACTGGTTCGATCGCCTGGCCATAAATCATCTTTCTAAGAACGTTCAAAAGGCATCAGGTTCACCTTCTTCCATCCTTTTGCATACAACACATAGGTTTCATGAATTTGATTTCCTTTCATTCATCTCTTACCTTCAATCCTAAGCAGGATTCATTAACAGCAAGAGTGGATATGACAGCCTGGTCGAGGCAGCTACTGTGGTTTCTCAGAAATTCAATCCTTCTCAGCAGCGTGAAATTGTCATCCGAGCTCTCGACGGCAGCTTTCCAAGGCCAATACTCTCCTTTGTGAGTTCATCACCCATCTGGTCTCCTTCCGGTTATGCCAAATCTCCCAGATATTAGCATTGGAGAAAAATGAAAAATAGTGCAGGCATGGTTCTTGTTTATTTTTTTTTCCCCTGGAAAAAATTGTGATTTGTCTTTAATGACTATGTTGTTACAACCGATTGCAGATAAGGACAGTGCTGCCGCCATCTAGATTGGCAAGGGAATATTTTGCCGCCTTTACTACTCTGTTTTTCGCTTGGTTAGTCGGGCACTGCGAGGTAAGCATCTGATACTGTAGTGTCAATAGTAACCTATTAGAATTGCTCTGATGTCATTTTGGTGCTAGAATCCCAATCATAATTAGTAGAACCCCAGCAAGGGAACTCATAGGCAGAGCGACATGGGACACTACGCCTTCCACTTGTGATAAGACTGAACTTTAATTGGTGATAAATCTGATCAAACATATTGAAGCAAATCATTGTGGAAGCTGATTAAGATACTGGAAATTCCCGTTATAACTAGCTAATCAGAAGCCGAAGCGTATGTATACAAAATACCTGATACTAAGCAACCTTCAAAGCGGCCCTCTTACCGTAGAATCTGGGCAACACAGTTTCTAATACAACCAAAAAACTTATAAATAGATTCTTGCATGGCGGCAGAGTAGTAGTGAATAAGATGGACGATAGGGAAGGAAGTCAACTTAGCAGAGCTGAAAAGAACTAGGCAATTATCTCCTTTCACTGTTGGGAGCCCACTAATTAGTCTCCTCAAGAAGTGTATAATTTCATTCGCACATCTTGCCCCACTTGAGTTCTATTAGCACACATGACACAAATTTAGATCATTCCAATGGATACTAAGTATGATATAAACTGTAGTATGTCATCAAGCTTCACAAGACAACAATCTTTATTAACAGGTATTACTCGACAGGACAGAAGAGACAAACGTGGCAGGGCACAAGGATTTGCAGACTAACTAAGGAAGCGGAAATAGTGAAATTAACTTATAAAAGCACACATAATCATAAAACATAATTGACTTTTGGCCAATAGATATATATATATATATATATAAAACATAATTGACTTGTGTATGCAACTATTTTTTTAAATATCCTACCCATGATATTGTTGAAGAATTAACCTCATTATCATTTTCACTATGAATAAGGTGAGGGAATCAGAAGTCAACGGGATAAGAGAAAAAAATGTTGTCCACATAAAAAAGTGCAGGTAACTCTACCTTTTCCATCATATTTTAACCTCAAATTTATAACATAAGATGGTCCCCAATTCACCAACCTACGATACGTTCTGGCCTCGAACAATTTGCTTCAATGATGATGCAGCTCCGATATTGTATTCTCTATGCTCATCATGACTATCATGATCACCATCAACATTATTGTCAAAACCAAAATGATGATTGTTATTTCCATCGCTCTCATCATTTCACATAAGCAACCTAGCAATTTTTTCTCTTTTCAAATTGGTTTTAATATGTACAGGTTTTTGGAACAGACAAATTGTGTCGGGATGTGCATTAATCTCTGCAAAATGCCATCTCAATCTTTTATGAAGGACTCTTTGGGTATGTCAGTGAACATGGTTCCAAGTGAGTATCGTATCCAGCAACTACTTGAGCACTGTTCTATTACTTGACATGGTCTCGCATGAAGAGTCTCAGTTTAAGTTCTTTGTCATGAACTTCTTTTGGAAAGAAATGGAGAAAAGCAAACACTTTGATGCATTATGGATTTGTTTCTCGTATAAGCAAAATGTCAATACGTTATAGCTATTAAAAAAAGTCACCCATGTTACACCAAACTAAAACCAAGTAGGAAAAGCTGGTCTTGCTACAAAATTTATTCTGAGGTTTCCTTTTATGGTAATTCCCACTAAAAATATAAATAAAAGAAACATTTTTCATACGTAGAGTATCATAGCATCCACTAAATTGTGGAAGCCAGCATCATCATTTCAATGGAGGGCTCCACGTATATGCCACTAGGGATACAGAACTGAGATGGAACTCAGTTGAGAAAACCTAAATACATTGCATGCATTTCATCAAGAAATTTATACCTCAAGTATAGCTGCAAACATCTTCGATATCATTAATGGTTCCATGCACCTTTTCTTCTTTATATGATATCCTGCCTCTGATTATTCTTTCAATTACCCATCAGTAGCATTCATCAAAAGCATTAAAATCGCATCATATTCATAATGACCTAATTGACATTATAGCACCAGTCATTTCTTCTTTCCATACAAAATTTTCTCTCCCTAATAACTTGCTGACAAGTAGAGGACCTCTGATAATAGCAGAGTAAATAAGGTGAATCGCTGTGACTGGATGATTTAATGAATCCCACTAATTTAATGAAATTGAAATGCCTATAATCAGTCTGAACTTCATCTGCATCTTTTAATTTGCAGATTTTGAGGACATGAGTTGTGAGATGATATTTGGCGAGGATCCTCCAGCATCAACAGATGATCCAGCACTTAAGCAACCATGCTATAAACTATGTAATAACTTTCTATTATGGACTTCCTATGTTGATTTACATCTTCTAATGGAAAAAATCGAAGCCTAGTAATCGGGCAAATTATGTAAAAATAACAAGAAAATTGCTCTAGGATTATTACGCCTGACTAGAAACATACTATTGGAAAACCAAACCTGCATGTCATTTTGCTCTGCCAAAGTGACAATGGTCAGAGACGCTTAAGAAATTAGAGTAGAAGAATGTAAATTATGGCAGAAAGCGGAACCTAACTCATTATATGTTCTTATATCATGCAGGCTCGGTAAAGAAGAAGCATGGGATGAACTGCCTCAATTAAGGGCGAGGGTATGGAATGAGTAGCTTGTGAATAACATCAATGTATACTAATTATCCATAGCCACATGAGCCTACGTTGTTTCTAAACCTTAAACTTGTCAATTTATGTATCCATGGCAGAAAATTGAGATGTTTGGTATCCGCTAGCTGGGTTTCAATGCTAGTCAGAAAGAATGATAAGTTGCCACTGCTGCCATCCGCAAGAAAGAAGCATGGGATACTATTTTTCAAAGTACGTAAATTGGCAAACCGCTCAAACTTCAAGGTTTCTCGGCTTGGGAAACCGTTTCACTCGGGCTTAGGTTCGGTGATTTATTGGTTTTTGGTATACGGAAATCCTATTTTCCCAAACCTTCGAAAAACAAGCTATAAGATGCCAGTACATAATAAATATGAAAAATTTAAATTTCTAGTTTTTTTCTCCACCATGCAATGGAGACTGGATTGTAAGTCTGTGAACGACATGATCAGTGTCCTTTATCTATAATTGCACAACCAAATAGTTTTCGCTTTAGAGGAAGTATTTTTGACTCCAAAATTGTTGTAGGCTTTCTGGTAAGCAATGATAGAACAAGAGTGTCCCCCACCTTCTGTGTGCTACCAAAGCTAAGACTCGTCGGCCATCTCTCATTAAGAGAATAGTTAAGTGCTCCATCTATCCCACTTCGACCCAATAAAAGTTCGCTTGAAAGTGGAATTGCTTCATGATAATTATTTGAAAATGCTTTTGGAGTCATTAGAATATGAAAAACCAGAGCAAGTGGACAAAAGTATATTTATTCAGGGTTAAATGATATTTTCACCCCCACTATTTCGTCTGGAGCAGTATCACCCCTCTCAAGCCCAAATTGTAAACGATGTTGCCCCTTCATTAACGGCTATTGACATTGACTGTTAATTTCAAATTAACTTTTGAATAAAGAGTATTTTTGTCCTTAAAATATTCATGGACAGTAAGTACTAACTAGCACCCTAAAGTTCAATAATGTGGAGCACTTTGTCCCCCTGCAAAAAATGCCAAATCATGTTTAGGGTGTCATATTCATATGGCTTGCTAGCTAGGTATCAATCAGTAAAAGAAGTTTGTAAATCTGTACTAATGATCAAATAATGGCTGTCACAGGTAATATTTGTCTATACTATCATAGGTTATACAAGTATTCATTAATAAGTTTTAGCTAGTCATGATAGATATAAATAATATGTGACAATAACATAATTCATTGTTACTATGAGAGTCGACAAACCTTTTTCTTCTTACATTGATGAGTCTTTAGCTGGCAAGCCAAAAAATAAACCATCTTAGCCTCCTATTTTTTTAAATAAAAACAAGTGCATCATGTTTTGACGTTGAACTTTAAAGCAAGTTAAATTTTTTTTTTTCTTAATTGACAATCCATGAAACCAATTCCACCTAAAGTGATAAGGCTTGTTATTGTTGACAAGTATTTAGTTAACAAGTCATGATAAACACATGTAATTAATGACAACATTGCTAATTGATCATTAACTGAGGTCGATAGAATTCTTTTACCGTGAATACCTAGTTGGCAAAACGTTTGACACGTTAAGCATAATGCCACATGTTTTGATGGAAAAAGGTAAGGTAGTAATTGATTCATATTAATAAATTTTAAGATATTAGTTACTCTTTTATAATCAGAGACAAAAATGTACTTTAACTCCAAACAATAAATTAACAGTCAACGTTGATATCTGTTAGTTAAAAAGCGACACTTCATCCATTGACACCGGAAAGAAAACAATGCTCTGATCAATAGTTTAAGATTTTCAATTACAGAAATGCTTTCTAAACCATTTATTTATATGATAGTAAATCCTTCTCCAAAACACCTCCATCTATCGTTATAGCAGATGAAAGTCAGCTAAAAAATTGTTTTAGCCAAGCAACAGCCTGTAGGGTACTCGTTTCTCAGCAAAACAAGTGGCCATGAGAAACCCTATCTCTCCACTCCTACCCCAAATCAGAAACCAGAGGGATACTGATCATTTGGACGACAATATAATAAAAATATGGGGTAAAATAATAATAGACTAAAGACCTTCATAATGCATATTAGTGCCTTGCATGCGTCATAGTGATGTAATAGCCATCCTTAATGACTGGTCCAAAATAAAAATTCAAGCAAGAGGATGGAGTTTAGAAAGTGGAAGCGCTTGAGAGGTTGAATACCCGTTTATAATTTCTGATATTGCCGACTCAATGGAGTGTTGGGAAAAAATGTCCAGGTGTAAGAAACTCGTCTTCTGTGTTTTCCATTACCGATTTGTGGAAATTCAGATGAGACAGCAAATGATTACTTTTCCTGTTTCACGGTTGGAAGCAAATCAGCGAGTTCTTTGCTTCACCATAACAAATTTCAACTTACGGCAGCATATTCAAGTAAAACTCGTTGGAGAAACACGATCTATGTATAAAACATGACTAACTAAGATTTCTACACTCTTCATGAAGTTATAATTTTCCTTTCAGTTATCCTTTGGAACCAAGAATCTTATTTGTTCATATATGTTCCACATTGTTCCAAAGAAAAATATAAACAGAAAGGTTTTCAATCAAAGTTCACGCGAAGAAAAAAAAAAGAAAATCACATTAACAAAAAAGATTGAGTGAATTGAGGCAACGATTTAACAGTAGCATACTCGGGAAGATTTGAGCTCTGAAGGCAGCGATCAGTGATCGCAAGTCCGTGAAATTCGAAAGCAAACGACGGATGAGCAGAGAAGGGAGGGAGATTCACAGCTAACAAATTAGGAAATACGGATGTCGTTCGGATGTTCGGCTCCGCTTCAATGGAGCGGGCCGGTAAGGCCCCCCCCCCTTTTTTCCTGGGACTAGGCCTTTGGGGTCGAATGGGCCAAAGTAAATTGCCCTTAACGCAAAACTTTCATTCTTCATTGCATGTCTTTAGTCTTTTGTCATATAGGGACTACCGGACTAGCATAACTTTTTTTCACAATAATCGTCTAATCCAAAACACTTGGATACGGATATTAAATTTCACTAAAACGTGGTTTAGTTAATTTTTAACAATTTAAAATTTTATGGCCATCAGATTATTTTTTGTTACCAATAAATCTTCACAACCGATAGCCTTAAGATTAATTCCTGAAAAAATTTAAATACAATTTAAAGAATTGTCCCAGGAAATACTTTTCTATATAAATTTATAAAAAAATAAATAATACTCATGAAATTGAAATCCAATTCTCTTTCACTGGCAGGAATCAGAAAAAGTTGGACACATTGGTTTGTTTAAGTGCGGTGAAGAAATTTCTGTATTTTAATTGTAATTTTAAAATTGAACAAAACAATTAATCAATTTTTAAAAACAAAAAAAATTAAAGAAATACATTGAGTTACAATACAATTAAATATCACAAAATAATTTAGTAAATTCAATCGATCTGGGTTTTCTTCTTGTTTTTTTTTTCTTGTGATATAACGGTATAAATGATGTTTTTAACTACCATAAAAAAGTGAAAGCTTGTCTTATAGAGTCTAGACAATAATAATAAGCACATTCATTTTCAATTTAGTATATACAGTAATATTAATTTTCTTAAAAATTCTTGATTTTCTTTTTCAAATACATTTTAAATAATTAGCCCAATTCAAATAGGTATAAAAATATACACTTTCTTCGTTTAAAAATGTAAGACATTTTTTTAGGAGTTGAATGTTAAAGATGTGAGGCATTTTTAATCTTTTGAGGTGTAATTATTATTTTTTTTTCAAAAGCACCACTATCGATAATTACTTTATATTTATTATAGGACGTTTAATAGAGATAAATATAAAAAATAAGATTAATTTAAAAATATGTAACTACTTTATTGAGGGTGTAATTTAATTAAAAATATTTTCTATTTTTTAACAGTGAAAATATATATATATATATATATATTCATGCATTACAAAATTGTAAACTTCAAATTAGAAGATCATGATGAATAATTTATAAATTTAATGGCTAGAATATATTATTGAATTAGTATCTTGCTCATAATAACGGGTAAGATAATATGTTTGTGTATCTATTTATTTTTATATATCAGATATATTATGAGAAATAGAAAAGCATAACATTATTTTGCTCAACCGCATTGTGGACACTTCGTGTGTAATTCTAAAAAAAAAAAAAAACAGGAAAAAGAAAAAAATTGTGTTTGATGTGGCTGGCGGCCAGAAAAGAAAATGGTATTCTAGGCTTCTAGCACTCTTCTACAGTTCTACTACGTCCAGGTTTTGTGGTTTGTGTTTGTGACCGAGAAAACTGAAGTCTGTGGTTCGCGGGGCTTTTTCGTGTTCCTCTCTCCACAAGCTGGTTCGGGTAAGCTCACTTTGGAGCAAAGCTTTTTTCCGTTTTTGGTACAATTAGACCTACGCTTGCAAGTTCTTCGCATGCCATTTTCCTATCTGTGAACTCAATTTCGTTCAATTTTATTCTAATTGCTATTGCTCTCTTGTCAGATTCACTCATGGCTTCAGTAATGCTTAGTGGAGCTGAAAATCTTGTGCTCTTAAGTAACCGAAACCCCATTAAGTTAGGTTTTGTAGGGTCGGATTTGCACGGGAAGAACTTCCCGAGACTGGGTTTTATCAGTTCTGCTAGAGTTCCCAGTTCTAGGACCATGACGCCTAAGTGTAGTCTCTCGGCTTCGAGGCCTAGCTCACAACCAAGGTTCATACAACACAAGAAAGAGGCCTTTTGGTTCTACAGGTTTCTGTCAATTGTATATGACCATATTATAAATCCTGGGCATTGGACAGAGGATATGAGGGATGAAGCACTTGAACCAGCTGATCTCAGTGACAGAAATATGATAGTCGTAGATGTTGGTGGGGGCACGGGTTTTACCACATTGGGAATAGTGAAACATGTGGATGCGAAGAATGTTACCATTCTAGACCAATCACCTCACCAGCTTGCTAAGGCCAAGCAGAAGGAACCACTGAAGGAATGCAAAATAATTGAAGGCGACGCTGAGGATCTTCCTTTCCGTACTGATTATGCAGACAGATATGTATCTGCAGGAAGGTGAACTTCGTCAACCTTTCAAATTGATCTTTGAATTCTATGTTTACTTATTCTTACAATATTGTGTACCATTGTATTCGTCCGCATAGAATGAAAGGTGTTGAAGTTCTATGAAATGCCTATACTGAAAATGCGTTTTAGTATGCTTAAGATGCAATTCTGTCATTTAAGCAGATGAATAGGTAAAATTATTTATATGCCAGTGTCTAAATCAAGAAGCAGATTGCCTAAGCAGCGATATGCTTCCATTTCACAGTATTGAGTACTGGCCAGATCCACAACGAGGCATCAAGGAAGCATATAGGGTTTTGAAACTTGGAGGGAAGGCATGTTTAATTGGACCAGTGTACCCAACATTTTGGTTGTCACGCTTCTTTGCTGATGTTTGGATGCTTTTCCCTAAGGAGGAAGAGTACATTGAGTGGTTTGAAAAGGCAGGATTCAAGGATGTACAACTGAAGAGGATTGGTCCAAAATGGTATCGCGGGGTTCGTCGTCATGGCTTGATTATGGGTTGTTCCGTTACTGGTGTTAAACCTGCATCCGGAGATTCTCCTTTGCAGGTGATTGTCATCTCAGCTTCTCAATTCATGTTATGTTTTGTTTGGGGTTTTGCAATTTCATTTTGCACAGAATCAAAGGTAGTTTCTCTGTGCCTTTGTCTGCCTGTCTGTCTCTCACTCACTTACTCGTGTTCTGTGGGTGCATCTGATCACCAGAGTTTATATGTTGAACGTTATGATATCAAATCACACATTTTTGGAATCTTCTCTATTAAGCTGTAATAGTAAGCAGATTGTCATGATGATGGATTTGAAAGTAGCTGTATCAAAAGCAACTATGAATAAAGGTTAACTAACAATGCAAGCTATTGGGATCATGATAATGTGGAAAGGTTGTCAGGTAAATAATTAACCATTGATAAGTGTCAATAAACAAAAAAGTAAAAAAAAAAAAGGGAATTTTTATATCCCTTGTCTGATGTACTGATGCGGTTGTTTCTACTAGAACTTGTGATTTAACATCCACAGATTGGTCAACTTTTATTCTTATCCCTACCCAGAAAGTGTGGTCCTTTAAATGGCTTGAAGCTTCATTTTACAATGCAGCTTCTGTCTACAAACTATTTGCACAGAAGCGGACTCTTGCACTGGGTTGTTTCTATTGAACTTTACCTTTGGGCTTTCTGAATGGGTGCCTTTTTCACCACTTCTTTCAAACAGATTCTGGATCTTTAAGTAAGCACTCAAATGTTTTCCTGACATTCACAAATATTTCTCACCAGTATGGTTTTTAAGGTTAAAAATCCCAATGTTTGCATATAGCGAAGTGATGCTTATATAAATATCTTTCTATCAGAAGTCAGGTGTCTGGACTACTGCGAAAAATAATGGGAATTTTTATTTGACTGCAAAGTGTTCATAATACATCTTAATAATGATATATATAATACACAAGGCTTTATTGAAGTTGGTAATTGCAAAAAACAAAATTAAAAAAAACATCATTTTATTACACTTGAGACGCTAGCAATGCCTTAATTTATTTGCTAATTATAGATTCAAAATTGTCAGTGGCTTGTGAAACATACTGATTGACCGTAGTTTCCTCCGGTAGTGTGCACCCCCGCTCCCTCCTTGTTTTCTTTTTATTTTGTAAATGCACTGAGATTAAGATAAGTTTTGCAATTTTGATGCAGCTTGGTCCAAAGGAAGAAGATGTGGAAAAGCCTGTAAACCCTTTCGTCTTCTTGATGCGGTTCATTTTGGGTGCCATGGCTGCCACATGGTTTGTATTAGTTCCTATTTACATGTGGCTCAAGGATCAAATTGTTCCCAAAGGACAGCCAATCTGAGTCCTGGTTAGCCAAGGGACCTTGTTCAGTTATTTTGTTCAGCTTTTCTTCAAACCTAGATTACATCTGCAACCGAGAAATGTTTTGATTTTGTCATGCCTCACTGGTATGGTCACTTAATTTACAGTCACATACTAGTCTCAACTAGAAAAGCCTGAATACTGCTGCATGCTTTTGCTAGCCATATTCTATGAGTATCAAATTGCACTCGACAGGGATTAGAAACCTTGGAGCGTGGGTGGGTAACCGATAAATGCAATAAATTGAACTTGAATATTTCTTCTAAATTGTCTTCCTGTCTCATACGTATTTAATATTTAACATGTCGCACTTCAATGGGAACAAAGCTATTTCGATTTTCTTTTTGGTTGATTTTTAGTTTCCATTCCAACTGTTTTTTTGGTGATTACTCCATCTGGTCTTGGTCCTATTTATAAGTTATATTCCATCCATCTAAGATGTAAGGTATTTTTAATTAAATTTTAGTTCTCAATAAAGTAGTTATTTATTTTTAAATTAATCTTATTTTTTTTACATTTACATTTATTTAATAGGGTAGTTTATTCTTAAATATGAAGTTATTTATTTAATAGGGGTGCTTTAAAAATAAAAAAAGATGATAATTTCACCTTAAGCAAGTAAAAATGCTTTTTATTTTTTAATGAATGGTGTATTATCAATTATTACTTTTTTATTGCAAATTTTTTCTATCCTTCTATTAAATATTGAAGAGAAAAAAAATATTATTTTAATAATAATAAAATTAAGAATTTATTACATTTTTAAGTAGAGTTCAAGAATTTTAATTTTTTTTAAATTTTTATAAAATATTTTAAAGAGGAGCAGAGGAATATAAAATGGGCTTGCCAACACGTTCGAATCTTCATATCTCAGCCCTGTCTCTGCCAACTCTTGGTAAACATGCTCTGCAAAACCCTTTGAATTTACAGTATGAATACAAAAACATTTAAAAATAAAAATCTATTTGACAATCTAGTTTAAAAACAGTTTTTTATTCTTCAAAATAAGAAATAAAAAAATATATTTGATAATATGTTTTTAAAAATTGTTTTAGAAAACAAAAAAAAATAAAATATTATTTCAAAAAATAAAAAAAATGAATAACTTTTACGTATTTTAAAATTATTATTCTAGAAAATAAAAAAGAATAAAAAAATTATTTTTATAATTTTTTTATTCTCAAGACATATTTATAAAATATCAATTCTCATAACAATAAAATAAAAATAATTTTAAACAGTCGTTAAAGCTCATGAGTAATAATGAGTAAAATATTTAAGCACTGTTGCTGAGCAAAAGCCGATCAAAGCAACACTCATGGAGCCCAGACCACCGGACAAGAAAACCATTAACGTCCCACGGACTTAAAAACTCACAAGACTACATTAAATTTAAGAAATATTGTTTCAAAAAATAAAAAAAATGAACAACTTTCGAGTGTTTTAAAATTATTATTCTAGAGAATAAAAAAGAATGAAAAAAAAAACTTATTTTTATAATTTTTTATTTTCAAAACATGTTTTATAAAATACTAATTCTCAAAACAATAAAATAAAAATAATCTTAAACAGTCCCTAAAGCTCATGAGTAATAATGAGTAAAATATTTAAGCACTATTGCTGAGCAAAAGCCGATCAAAGCAACACTCCCATGGAGACCAGACCACCAGACAAGAAAACCATTAACGTCCCACAGACTTAAAAACTCACAAGATTACATTAAATTTAAGAAATAAGTCATATTATTCATAAATCCTAAACAAGTCAACATTTTTTACATTTCATTTTTGGACACCTTTAGCAAATTGGCAATAAGTTAGGCGGCAGATAGAATCCATCAGGCCTACGATCCGGGGAAAAAATTGGGAGCCAGCCTATAATACTGGTACCAGCCACCTCTTTCCTGAGCAGTGAGCAATGAGCTGCGTGTGATGAAATGCTTGAGATATGAACAATATCACAATGTTCCATGATTGGCAATAATGAGTAAAATATTTAAGCACTATTGCTGAGCAAAAGCCGATCAAAGCAACACTCCCATGGAGACCAGACCACCAGACAAGAAAACCATTAACGTCCCACAGACTTAAAAACTCACAAGATTACATTAAATTTAAGAAATAAGTCATATTATTCATAAATCCTAAACAAGTCAACATTTTTTACATTTCATTTTTGGACACCTTTAGCAAATTGGCAATAAGTTAGGCGGCAGATAGAATCCATCAGGCCTACGATCCGGGGAAAAAATTGGGAGCCAGCCTATAATACTGGTACCAGCCACCTCTTTCCTGAGCAGTGAGCAATGAGCTGCGTGTGATGAAATGCTTGAGATATGAACAATATCACAATGTTCCATGATTTTGAGCTAGGCATAAACTTAAACTTGCTTCTTGACTTCAAACTCGACATAACAATATTAAAATACATTACCTAATGAGCGACTTGGAAGCGGTATTGTTCAATATACAGCAAAATATTAAGATGAAAAACAGAAACTTAACCTATTCCATCCCCATCATAGTTGGCCGCGTAAAGCAAGAACAGCTTAAATGGAGAAGCCTTTGAACATGAAAATTCAACAAGCAAAGATGATCACAGCACGAAAATGCCAAATCATCCTATCTTGCCCCGGAATCAGGACTGGCATCTCCATAGGAAACTAATCCCTTCTGTCCAGATGACGAACTAGATCTAGATCTGCTTGGAGATACAGAAGTCCTTTTATCATGACGCCTGGGTGGGGTAGCATCAGGGGATCTAGAGGGAGACAAATGATCCCTGGAATTCGACCTGGCACTTCCTCTGTCTGGGGAGTGCCGAACACTTTGGGGACCAAGTCGGGATTTTAATCTATCACTCATTGGAGGTCGCCTGCCTTCTGGAGTGGGGCTACGTACAGGACTCTGGTTGCGACCACGATCCCTAAAACGGCCCCGCACTGGACTGTGAGAGATGCTCCTACTCCGGCTTCTTCTGCTATGGTGTCTATCAAAATGAATAAAAAAACAAAAACACGGTTTCCCAGTTGTATATCATGAAAATGCTTACTTTGTAATGGATAATACAAATATGATGCGGTCTAACTAATAACACATTCAATCATAAGATAAAGGTGACCTTGGACGGCTCCTGTGCCTTGGAGGGCTTCCATAGCGTCTCTGCGGTGAACGCTCAGAGTAGCTCCGGTAGCTTGTACGCCTACAAAGACACATAACAAATCAAAACAATAACTAACATCCTTTTTATCAGTCCAGACTAGCAAAATGAAATGGGCATACCCGTCGAAGTTCCTTCTTATATTTCTATCACCATAACGATAGGAATGGGGTGACCGATCTGGAGATGGAGTACGGTATCTGCGTGCAAAGGCATAGCGCTCAGTGAAGCCACGCCCTTTTCTAATACGCTTTGGTACACCATTTGGTGAAGGGCTTTTTGACAAACCCTGACTATGTTTGGAGGCAGCAGGTTGGCGGGGACTTGTTAGTAAAGCACCTCTTTGGTTTTCCTCAACTAGCTTCCCACTGGGACTCATTGCATCACTTCTTCTAGGAATTGATCCTCTGACACAAATAAGTTGTACACAAAACCTTAATCAGATATGCATTCCAATCCAAGGATGTACTGAACATTAAGTCTAAGAAAAATTAATACTATAGGTGATTATTAATTAGAAGACAAGAAAGCCAAGAAGTGAAACCTATTGTCATTAGAACCATCCAAATGAGTGGGTTGCTTAGCAGGTCTACTGAATTTGGCTTCAGTATCATGCCCGTTATTCAGAAATTCAGAATTTTCTGGAGACAATTCACCTTCTTCATGTGATTGCTTGTCCGCGGTTCTTCTGACCTTGAAATCTTCCCCTTGATCTGGAGAAGCTTTAACTAAGGGAGGACTGGGAGATTGCTTTCCTGTTTCTGTAGCATGATCAGTTATTAGTTTTTGGCAGCATTCAAAATATATTTTAGGTTAACATTCTTTTGTGGGGGAGATGTAGGTTACTTTGCAATTTTTTTCTTTTCTAAAAAAAAGATAGCATACCTGAACTTCTTTTTTGTTTGCTGTCAGCATGTGTTTTACGACCAGAGACACGGCAATGAGCTTTCTTATCATCAGAACTGCTCTCACTACTACTAGTACTATCACTTTCAGTATCACTTGAATCCTCTGAGCTCCTGAACCAAGGAAATCAATTTAATAAAGGCAGAGATCAGGCATGTGCTTGATGTGGAAAACTATAACAGAACAGACACGCTACAGTTTAAGTATATTCATACCATCTGGACATGCGTCTTGATCGTCTATTATGCCGGCTTCTCCTTTGCTTATGCCCGTTTCTCCTCTTCTTCCCCTGCTTGTGCCTAGATCTTTTCTCAGGTTTTCTCTTCCGATGTTTACCATAGCTAGAGGAACTTGAATCAGATAGCGATGATTCTGACCCTGAATCTGAGTCAGAATCACTATCACTATCTGAGCTGTGTGAATCAGATGTTGAGTATCTCCTCCTCTTTCTCAAATCCTTGGAAGATGTTTTCCTTTTTCCTTTTGATTTTTTGTCAGAACTGTCATCAGAAGTTGAAGATTCCCCAGATTTTCTCTTTTTACCTAAAATGAGAAATAGGTTGTATCCCCTTTGGTTGATAAAATATAAAATGCAGAATGACAAAGCTGAAGAGAGGTCAATTAGGCCAAAAAGAAAACTGAAGAGCGATGTATAATGCATTCATATTTTTGCCTTATCATCAAGTACCTTTCTCTTTCCCAATTTTCGGCTGAATTTTCGCTTCAGTTGCTTCACCACAATCAATGATTTTAACAGGCCGAACAGGTTTCCCATCTGATGTCCCCACCAGTTCAATTTTCTTCAGAAGATCTAATCCACCAACAACTTTTCCAAAAACGACATGTTTCCTGCAATGTCACATGAAAGAATTTAAGATTATTAATAATTAATAATAAACTCATCGTTTAACAAAACAAAGATCAGCAATCTGATCTCATCAGCTTGAGGACAGCAAATACAAGAGGTCAAAAAGAACTTTGTTGAGAAAATTTCATAAACAACAAATGAAAACAGCCTTAACTACAACATTCAGGGCAATAGACACTAACAAGGGCTGCAGAATTTACAGTGAGAACAATGTACGTCATGTTAAAGGCAAAAATCATGTAAAGCTTATATACCCATCAAGATGTGGTTGGCGCTTGAAGGTAATAAAGAATTGGGAACCATTTGTGTTTGGGCCACCATTAGCCATGGATAGAAGACCAGGTCCGTCATGCTTTAATATGAAATTTTCATCTGCAATGAGGAGGGAATGTGTGCTTTTAAATGATTAATCATCAAAACACTCCAACGACATAAATTTTTATGTGAAGTTATTTTTATTTTCAGAAAAGTGAAACACAAAAGAACTTATTAAAAGAGCGGAGAACAGACTCAGGATATGAATCCTCCTCTAATGGAAAGCAAGATTACCAGCAAACTTTCCTCCATATATACTTTCTCCACCAGTTCCTGTAAACAAGTCAAAGGTTGTTGGTTATGAGTCTTCGAAAAAGATATAGCGGTCAATGGGAATCTGCATTTGCCAAAAGCATACCATTTCCCCTTGAAAAGTCACCACCCTGTTAGGAAATTGGGGAAAAAACTTATGAATGATAACGAATTGGAAAAGATAAAAAAGTTGCAAAACACTTGTAAATAAGGACAAAGGGGCTGTTAAACTCCAAAAGTTAAGTTGATACCCCACTTTACAACTTTACCAACACAGATTATCAGTTCTACCAGCTAACAACCAAATTAACCATAGGCTTCTCATGCAAGATGACAAGTTTTTTATAACATAATTAGCTTATGACAATTAGATAAAAAAAAAAAAAACCAGGCCTAGAAATTAAGCCAATCCCTCAGACACCATTGTCCCCAGATTATGATGTAACTTCCTCAGACAATGATTACCCAAATATCAAAAAATAAAAATAAATGAAAAGTATAACAACTGTCACCATTTATGTTATGCGACAGGATGAATTGGCATCATAAAAGTCAACTTCTAAATATTAAGTTGTCTAAACATTCGGTTTTACTTATGACAAGCAGATACTTTCAGATAAATTTAGGCCATTTTTATATCTCCTAAGCAATTCAATGGAAAACAGCTGAGTCAAACCTTTTAAAAGATGCCTGAATGAAAGTACAACAAGGTGGTAACTTGACTGAATTAATCATTCATGAAAAACTTATTTCAATGTCCAATTTACTAAAAGGAGACAGGGAAGCTTACTTGGGCCATGAATCCTTTAATTATACGATGAAAACAAGTTCCTTTATAATGCAAAGGTTTTCCGGTTGATTTTCCAATGCCCTTCTCACCTGCATATAAAAGACAATCAGTTACAATAATGGCATACTAAAATTTAAACAAGTAGATGTGATGTGAAAGCTTATCATCTTTCCCAAAGTTACCTTTCTTAGTTTTGTAAATCTGTAATGCTTGATTATTAACCAAATATACAGCATTTTTAACTCTAGTAAATTATAATTTGCAATTTGTATCCATACGAACCAAATTCACATAGCAACCACAAACTAATTAGAACTAGCTATTCCATGCATACAAATTAGGAAATCTCCAAACTCAATAAAAACCTAAAGCTCTACAAGAACAATGTCATGTTAAAATATCAACTTCAAAATTCAGCAGCCCGCAACTTTCTTCAGATAAAGCCTAAAGTGTTCAACATTATATCTTTAGCATTCGTGTAGATCTATGCAATAACAGAGAGATAAAAACTAGTATAGCACCTAGAAGATAGTATTTCATTTCTTTAATAACTGAGGAATATCTCATACGCCATTTGTTAGCAAATCATAGTTTTTGACTGATATCAATTATACAGCTACATTCTATTAACAGGAAGCCTTCAAAAAGAAGGAAAATAGAAGGCCCCAATGTTGGGTAGGGCTGGGGATTTTATCAGGAAGTAGATAATCAACCAACCCAATCCAAAATGATGTCTACCTTGCCAGAGGGCCTCCTAGGCTAAGATGTCCTGACATTTGACATTAATCATAGCACATGCTCCACCAACATACAATAACAACAAGCCTTTATCCCACTAAGTAGGGTCGGCTATATATATTGCAAGACGCCATTGTGCTCTATCATTTACCAAGCTTTTAGAAATATTATTAATTAAGATATCGTATTCAACAACCCCCAAAAGTGTTCCCTCAGGCCTTACTCTATCCCTCTTAACAAGGCTCAAAGTTATATATTCCACTCTTCTCACTAGTGCCTCCCGCGGTCTTCTTTATACATCTCCAAACTATCTCAAACGATTTCCTACCACTTTTTCCTTAATAGATGCTACTCTCACTTTTTCGCATATGTGCTCATTTCGAATTTTATCTTTACGTGTATGTCCGCACATCTATCATAACATTCTCATCTCTACTACTCCAACTTTATGCTCTTGTTGTTCTGTTAGAGCCCAGCATTTACTACTATATAATATAACCGGTCTAATAGCAGCACGATAAAACTTTCCTTTAAATTTATTAGGCACCTTACGATCGCAAATAACTCCTTTAACTTTTCTCCAATTAAACCACCTAGCTTGAATCCTATGTGAAATATTCCCACTGATTTCACCATCATTTTGAATAACGGCTCCCAAATATCTAGACTATTCCACTTGAGGTATAATTTGATCTCCCAATTTCACTTCTAAATTACTGTCAACTAGCATCTTACCAAATTTACAATATAAATATTCCCTCTTACTTCTATTCAAACGGAAACTTTTCAATTCCAATGTCCTCCTCCATAACTCAAGTCTACAATTAATTTCTTCTTTTGTCTCTGCTATAAGAACTATATCATCCGCCAAGAGCATGCATTTGAAAATTTTTCCTTGAATATATTCTGTCAAAACATTTCCCTGATGTAGTCCAATATTTATAGAAAAGTCCTTTGTTTTGATCATTAGACGTTTTTATACTAGTTTTTACCCCTTCTTACATATCTTATATAACTTTATTCTAAGCAATCTGTACTCTGTTTTTACCCCCTCACTTCTCTTGGATTATGCTCCGCCAACATAATCCAAAATAAAAGATTACAACAGTAACAGACAGTTACTCCCTCTGTGTTCATTTATAAGAGAAAATACCACTTTTAACTTGTTTTTTTATAAAAGCAAAATCGCATTTCCCAACAAGCATTTATTACAAACTTCTTAAATTATCCCTCATAATTTTATCATTCATCGTCATAAGAAACAATAAATGAAGACTTGAATAACACAATTAATAAAGAGTATTATAATTTAATTTTTTTATTTTCAAACACAATTAATATAGTTAATCGATTTTTTTAAACTGTGTGATATATTTTTTTCCTCCTACAAATAGAAACGGAAAGAGTACTTTGGAACAATCAAAAGATACCTGTACAAAGTGCCCGGAAATTTTCAGCTGTCTTGGGAACAATACTGGCGAAAAGCTGCATCATTTCAAGAGGGGCATTTACATCAATCTTAGAAATTAGGGGAAATTTTCAAATGTGCAAAAAATTATATTTCCGCTCTTCTTATTACCTCTATAACAACTCGTTCCACAAGATCCCCATCAATTGAGACGTCTAGAAACACAAGAGGGTTCTTCTTCTGACTCATATCACCTTACTCAATGGGTGCTTCAGAGGGAATTAGAAGAAACAATCAAGAATCAGCATCAAAATTTCATAACCATAACAGCCTATTACAAAAAACATCCATGTCTGTAATACAGTTAAAACAGAAAGCTATTGTGAGTTAAAGGCATCAAATTCTTCTACCAACCTATAAGAGATTGAAATTTTACTTTCGGAGCATGTTTGATTTCCACATTTACAGACTACAGTCTCCACTAGATGACTCAGGTCTTCTTGGGAAGAAAGAACCACGCAGACCTCATCCCTACCCAGTTCCCAATAACCATTTTGATTTGCATTTCAATCGCATTAACATTATTTTTTTTTTTAATTACAAGGGAGTAGCCAAAGCTACCTAATCAAATTAATATTTTAAATCACTTAATAAAATTAAAAATGAGTTGCTCTAAGGCCCCGACAAAGAATGTCAAATAAGATCGTTCCTCTCGAAAATTAAAAAGATCTTCCTAAGCTATACAGATACAATGAGTTAGAAAAGCCTCTTGAGATTAATTGCACAGCAATGAAGCAACAAAACCCTAAACCCTAAGAATCCAATCAAACAGCATTTCGATTCAATGAAACTCCAGAATTTTTATTTCCTTACAAATTTAAGCCCGCAGAGAAAATGTCGGAATATAACCCTCGAAGACCCAAACCGTAATAGTCATTCAAAGCAGCATTTGTACTTCAGAAGGAGGAGCCAGTTATGTTCCCAACCCCCACCCACCCAACCATCCATCAGTATATACTGCAAAATAAAGAATTCTAACTGAAATTTTCAAAGGTGAAAAAGCACATGAGGCAGTGGTTGCATACTGCAGGGTGGATCATGAAAGGAAAAGAAATCACATCTCACGAGCTTCTTACTGCGGGCGTGCGCGATAGAGAGAAATCAGAGAAGACAGAGGCATTACTTTATACGAATCAGCGAGGAAAATAGAGAGCTGGAGACTCACTGTGGCCGGAGGCTGTAGCTACTGTTCAGTGCTCAGTACAATTGCTGTCCTGCGCTCGAGAGAATAAAGGTTCCAAGAGAAAAGCGTCGAATTCGACGAGGGATGCTTTGGTTGGGGAAGTCATTGCCTAGGTCGAATCATCCTTCGGCCCTAATCAAAATGTTCTTGGACCCTACCCGTGCCCAGAGTTAAATCAGTGGCCCGAACAACCATGAGCCAGCCCAACACATCCGTTGTTTTTTTTAACCTGTCAACACATCACAATTAACTCTTCAGGCTACAGTACCAAGTACAATTTTCTTTTTCGGCCAACGCCAAGTACAATTATTTTACATGTATCGTATTAAATATGTTGATGTATATTGATATTGATATTCTAGATCTGAATATAGTATATAAACCCTAATAAGTCATACTTGCGGCTTATTTTTCAATTTCATGCGATATATATAACCCATAATTAATTGCATATTAATTATTGAAAAAATAGAATCCAAATATCACTGTACAATATTTATATCCTATATGAACTAAATGATTTGATAATATCACTGTGGGCCTCTGGTCCTTCTGACATGTTAATTTAGTAGGCAAAAAGATCAAAATGCCCTTCAGTTAAAAAAAAGAACCCGCGCCGACACCGACGCTGGTCGTCGAACCCTTGCTATTGGCGAGGTTGCTAGAGCCCCTACTGTTGGTAAGGTCGCCGGGGCTAGTCACTGGAGCTTCGGTGCCATTGACATTTTATTTCAAAATTAAGTTTTTTAAGTGGTCAAGGGTGAGTTTGATTTCATAACCCTTAACCATCTAAAAAGCTTGGTGTAAACCAAACATAAAATCACTTCCATGTAATAACCTAATGTGTGTTGTTAATTTTTGAACGAAACTTGTTATTTTATGAATGTCACATGTTAATCTAACACGAACAATTATAAATTACGGCTTTAAAACTTTACTCATTTTAATTGCTTGTTAAATGTTCGAATATCTTATTGTGAATCACAAATAAGTTGTTATTAAAATCAAATGGATACTTATTAATGAATGACTAACACGCACAACTAAACCCTTCCTATCATTTCTTATAACTTGTTAAAACTATAATAAATTCTTGTTAATTTTAAATGAATTGTTATTATTTTAAAAATATTATTTATTAATCTAACATGGACAATTACATATTAAAGACTTCAAAACTTCGCTCATTTCACTTGTTAAACATCACAATGTCTTGTTGTTAATTATGAATAGGCTGTTATTAAAACCAAACGGATACTTGTCAGTGAATGACCAATATGCACTGACCTTTCCTATCAATTTTTCTAACAAGTATCTATTTGGTTTTGACAACAGCCTATTCATGATAGACAATAAGATATTGGGACGTTTCCCCAATTTGTAATTGTCCATAAATTAACAAGTGACATTTGTAAAATAACAATAATTTATTTAAAATTAACAAGAATCTATCATAGTTTTAACAAGTTAGAAAAAAATGATAGGAAAGATTTAGTTGTGAGTGTTAGTTATTCATTGACAAGTATCCATTTGATTTTGATAATAAACTATTTGTGATTGACAACAAGATATTGGAATATTTAACAAGTAAAATGAGTAAAATTTTAAAGCCCCTAATTGATAATTGTCCATGTCAGATTAACAAACGATATTTGTAAAATAAAAATAATTCATTTGAAATTAATAAGAATCTATTATAGTTTTAACAAGTTAGAAAAAATAATAAAAAAGGTTTAGTTGTATGTGTTAATCATTCACTGACAAGTATACGTTTGATTTTGATAGCAACCTATTTGTGATTGACAACAAGATATTGGGACATTTAACAAATAGAATGAGTGAAGTTTTGAAGCCCCTAATTTATAATTGTCAATGTCAAATTAACAAGCGACATTTGAAAAATATCAATAATCCATTTGAAATTAACAATAATATGTTATGGTTTTAATAAATTAGAAAAAATGATAGGAATAATTTAGTTATGCGTGTTAGTCATTCACTGATAAGTATCAGTTTGATTTTGACAGCAACCTATTTGTAATTGATAATAAGACATTAGGACATTTAACAAGTAAAATAAGTAAAGTTTTGAAGCTGTCAATTTGTAATTATTCATGTCAGATTAATAAGTGACATTCGTAAAATAACAAGTTTCATTCAAAATTTAACAATACACATTAAGTTATTACATAAAAGTAGTTTTGTGCTTGCTTCACTACTTATAATTTTTTTTACCATATATATATATATATATATATTAAAGGACTTGGTGGCCTTTTTAGGGTCTGTTTGATTCAGGGAGAGGAGAGAGGAGGGAAGGGAGAGGGACAAGGAGGGGAGGGGAAATTTTAAATATTTTCCCTCCCCTCCTCCTAACTAAATGAGGGGAGGGGAGGCCCAACCAAACACACCCCTTAGGTGGCCAAGGGTCATGAGATTAAACCCACCCTTGGTCACTTAAAAATCTTAATTATGCAATAAAATGTGGTCGACACTTCGACGATCGGCCTTTGGCGACCCTGTCAACAGCAACAACTTTAGTGATTGTGGGGTTTTTTTTTCTTTTTTTTAGCTAAGGGGTATTTTGGTCTTTTCACTTATGAAATTAATATGTCAAAAAGACTAAAAGGCTGGAGTGATATTATTAAATCATTTGATTCTTATGAGATATAAATATTGTACAGTGGTCCTTAAATGCTATTTTTCCTTGATTATTTTACTTTTGACTGGAATTGACATTTTCGGTGGTAGGACCAGAAAAATGAGTTTGTGGGGTGTAATTTAAAATTAAAATAAATATTAATATTTTTTAAACATAATTTAAAATATCTATTAAATTATATCTAATAGTTAAAGACTAAAAATAAAATAATGTATAAAACATAAAATTATAATAAGATAAAAAACCTCTCTTTACATAAACAACTTATTTCATTCTATTTAGAGTCATGTTTCTTCATGTTTATTAAATAAAATTTAGATACTTGGTAGAGAATTTTTTATGATAAAATTTTTTATAAACAAGTTATTATTTTTTCAACTTTAAAACTATTGCTATTGAAGTTATAGTACGTAGATAAAATTTTATGTTATAAATTTTTTAATAGAATAAGTGAAATTTATAAGGGGATCACAAGTGAATTTTTTTAAAATAGCGGGGACAATTGAAATTTTTTAAAAGGCGGCAATCAAAATCATTTATGTGATCTAATATATTTTTTCTTGAGCTGTAGGGGTAATTTCCCCGCTGTAGTATATGTGGGTATGTCCTTCAACAGTTTATTTAGCATGTAAATATTAATACAAGCATAAAATTATAATTATGACTGTGAAAAATAAATTAAAATTGACTAAATTATAGTTAACCTTCTTTTCTTAAAAATTATACTATCTAGTGATTGTGTATGTGTTGTAATTGAACAGATCGTGGTAAAAATGTTCATTCATACCACGAGAAAATTTCTATTTCAACGTCAAATTACTTATTTTATTGATAAAATAAAATGCTATGACCATAACCGGGAATAAATCTTTTTTTAATTGCCTATTTCCTTTGATCTTATTTATAAGATACTTTTTAAAACTAATTTTTGGTCAAAATATAAGATACCTTATGATAATTAAATTATTTTTTAATATTATTCTTTCTTGATTAGCATGAAGGTATTTAATATAACTGCATTATTATTTAAAGTTAAAGATAAAAATGAAAGTATCTCTCACTTTTTATGATATTAAGAAAAAATTAACTTTTTTTACAATACATGAAATGATTGAAAATGTCATCTAATAAAAAATAAAAGAAATATATAATTGATTATAAAACCAATTTAAAAGTTAAAGGCATCGAATCGGTGAGCTGGTGAACCGGCGTTAGATGCAAGAGTAAGTCTAATGCTACAAAGCCGCGAGACCATTGGCACTAAATGCGGTTTAGTGCATGCAAACTTCTAAGTTCTAACTTGACACCTGCTATTTAAAATATTTGCGCAAGCTTCCAAGAAAATCAGGAGAAAAAAAAAAACAGAAGGTCCAATATAATAGACAAAAGACTCATGACCATGCACTATTTATAAGGATTATTATTAGATTTAAACACACTCAATATTGTTTCTATTAAAGATTATAGGCTATTGAAATTGATTATTGACCTGGTTTTCTCCAATTTCAACTGTAACATCAATACATTTGTATTTTGAGATGTAGCCTCTTTTACTGCATTAAAAAAAAAAAGATCCGAGTCCAGCGAGTAAAAATGATTTCAAGCACCACAAGATTTTTTGATGTTGCAATTCAGTAGAGCGATTAAGTGTGATTTAAAGCGCCTGATTACATTCTTACGACAACAAATGATGATCAATCATGACAATGATGAGACAACTTACAAAAAGCTTAGTGGAGCCGTAACAACCCAATAGTTATATTTCATTTCCTTAAGGAATAATAGCCTCATTCTCTTTTTATCGCTCTATTTATTTATTTGCATATCTGAATTATCTTTTTCTTAACCAACTCAATGTGGTTTTAGATGATGTATTATTATCAGTAGTATTAACAGTAGGAAAACAAGAAAACCCACGAATGGATCGAGCGTAGGAGAATAAAATGCGTATGTCTCTTATTGTTGGCGTAATTGGTGGATACTTTTATCATGGATTCTCTTCCATTGAAGCTCTATATACTCCAACAATATTAAAATAATATATTTATTTATATATAAGAAAGCGATCATAATATTATAAGTCTTATAATTTTAATTTCCCGTAGAGCTTGGAAAAGTGTTTTCTTTTTGTCATTACGAGTTGAACCCAAGAATCAGAACACACACACGCATGTATGCACTCTTTATATGCAGACACAAAAAGACACACAAAAACCAAAAACATGCTGAAGCGAATGCTATCGCTGGCAAAAGCCATGTGTCAATTACGTCTAAGCTAAATGGATAAAACATGAGAGTATATATTACTAATTAGTAGCTTCTATTCTTGGCTTTCTCAATTTTCTAATTTTTGACCGTGAAATTTAAACACATTGTTCTGGTTAATTAAGTTGCCTCGCTTGGTTGATCAATTACAGAGAGTCAATTATATTATTGTTTATATATACTTGACTAAATTATATCGATCTGATATTCTTAGATTAAAAACGTTCGGCCACTGATGATGCATTATTGATATATATCACAGAAAAAGTTCTCGTACTATTTACTTTAAATTAATAAAATTAATTAATTAATTAAGTTTTTGCACAGCGTACGTATTCCTTTGAAAAGATGAAACTAGCTAGTACTTGATTAATCATTCATATTATCATAGTAAAAGTAAAAAATTACAATCTCACGGTAATTTTTGATATCATATCATGCACTATACTTTAACTAAATATTTTAATTTATTCGCATAGCTGTCATCATATGTTATCTTCGAATTATGCTCCAGTGATGCATGCCAAGGAATAATTAATTGCTCTTCACCAAAACCAACGCATTTAGTTTAATGTTGCAGAATATCGATCAGAGAGGCAAAGACGACGACGAACATTATTGGTCCTCAAATGCTCTAACAAATGGAAAGAAAAACTTCACACAAGGAGGCAAGATGAGAGATCTCAAAAGCACCGACCCCACGTCAGAGAGAGAGAGAGAGATTTCTGTCATTCAAAACCCTAACACTCATATACCGTCGTCACGTGCACTCCAGATTAATTATTTGATAAACAGAAGGTTTCTCCTCAAGTCATCATCTTAAACCCTATTCTGGAATGTTAACTACGAACACACGATAACTTCTTGGAAGATCTGCATTATATACCAAAACAATAAAAGGAGGAAAAAAAGATGAACGAAAGGAGCTGATAGGTATACCTCTCATTTTCATATTGTAGGAGAAACTACCCAGAATGGGTTTTATATATATATATATATATACGATCAATGAAATATAAGAGCGGATTTGTTCGTGATCCTACCAACAGGTGAAGCAGCCACATGATCCAATCCTTCCTTGAGACTGAAATATGACAGGAAAGTTTAGATCATGCTGGCAGCTTCATCTGTTAGTGGTGCACGACATCGATATGTATTAGCAGATCAGAGAGAGGGAGAGGGAGAGAGACACAGACGAAGAAAGAGAGAACTCTTAAATCTTCGCCAAGGGACAGAAGGGGGAGGGGAGAGTAAAGGGAAATAAATAGAGAGTAAGAGTTGTGAAGAACTGAAAAGGTAACCATGTTAGTGATGTAGTTAAGCTAAATTAATATATTGTTCTTAATTAGCAGATGACATGTGTCAGTGTGGTCCAGAGTTAAAAGACAATTTAAAAATAGTATGATCATGACCAATATGCTTCCAACATTTCATAACAGGCACGGTTGAGTGGTTCCAAGTTTATCTTGGAGTACACATCAACCAAAGAAAAAAGTGCATGTCACTAAGTTAATGGGGGACCATTTGCATGGCTTCCCACAATTCCAACATTAAAAGAAATTCAGTAAAAGCATCCTAATAACCAAGTCACGTTTGGAAAGGTGAAAATAAAATAAAATGAAACAAAACCAAGTGACTGCAACTCTATTTCTCTGTCCACCGTCTTTATTATTCTTCCTCCGTGTGTAAAGGTGATATAGCTTTTCTCTTAACTTTTGATGACATGAGGCGTGTACTTATTGTCTGACACAATCCTTCTTAAACTATCATTCTAATTGGCCTCAATTGTGGGTTTATATTATTAATTATATAGAAGCAATTTTGTTATCTGAGGATATGATGTAACAGAGGAACTGAGGAAGGCGGTAGAAACTAAACAGAATAACAATAGTAATATATTGAGAGGCTTGCTGTGATTTTGACGTAGTGTTTCTTTCGAGTTGTTTGTGATGTCTTTGGCAGATCGATGCATGGGTCCAATAGATGCAAGCAGAGTCATCTCCATTTAACAATATATCAGAGTGTGGAGAACACAGTATTCCATGAGAGAAAAGTTCCCAACATATTGACTTCAACACAGGTTATGCCGCCTATACTCAAATCGTATCTGCCTGCATATCAGTTGTACCGATTACTTTCTGTGCCATCATACTCTTCTTTTCAACTATATATATATATATATATATATATAACATAGTAAAGGATGAGTTAATTAAGGAAATATAATATTCAGTTTCAAATCTCACTTAAAATGGGATATAATTAATCCGAGATAATATTATATATATATATATAAGCGCTCTTGCTAGGCTCTAAAGCACATATGCATAATTAGAATGCATCCACAGAAGTATTTTTCTCCCCGAGAAAATGGAATTGAGAGTGAATCAAGAGAAGCAGTCATAAATATTCCAACAATGGATTGAAACTGCCAAGAGAAACACGAAATCAATTTTTACAAAATGCATGCCAAGGAAAGCCAGAATCAAGACATCGCCATCTTGGAAACAAATGTAAGTTAAAAACTTTCTCCCTCGTGCTCCCTTTTGTTTTGATGGAAGGAAAACTTCTAAATATTTGAGTCCATTTCTGAAGGTAAAATATAGTTTAATAAAAAAAATCTTTTTGATAAGGAAAAAAAGCACGACATAAAAATTACACCAAATATTCTTCATATATTCAGGTGAAAAATGGCCCAAAGATGTATTCAGGTGAAAATAACAAGAAAAAACTATTGTTAAGTAAATACAATATAAGACCGAGTAACAAAACAAAAAATAGCGGCCCGATATCCAGCCCGAAAATGAATATTTTTGGTAAACAGCCCAAAAATAAGTAACATTAATATATAAGTAACATTAATATTTAGATCAAACGCTCTATTTTTTTTTTTGGGGGCCAGGGAAACGCTAGAATCCATGCGACAATTAAAAAAAAATGCTCATGTAATAAATTTGAAATGAATTTGAAAAAACGAAAGTGTTATGATGTAAAAATAATTTAACGTGCAACCATTGTTAAGAATTAGTCATAAGTTGTATAACGTGTTGCTTTTAAAGGAAAGGGAGAATTGTACACTCGTCATGCGCATAGTGTAGTGTTTGTACAAAAAAAATCACAACCGGAAAAATAGGTCACAGAGACATAGGTGACGTGACAGACATGTACAATTCACAAGAAACGGCCTTCTTTTTCTTAGTAAAAGAAAATGGCCCAACTTCAAAAATATTTCCGAGAAACGATTACACTCATCCCATCAACCGTATCCCAGACCTATGCTTTAAATCACATTCCAATTCATGACCTGTACAGCTTAATTACACACTAAAAGCTTCATGTGAGCATGTATATATACATCAAAGAAAAGCCAACAGACTCATAACCAAAAGAATCCTCCACCGTTCACCCAAAATGGACCAATATCTCAAGGCAGTCATTGCTTTCTTCTTCTACACTGCACATCCTGCTGCGTCAACCAGATGCTTTTCCCACAGGGTAAACACACGTTAATCCTGATGCGAGTTAGCTCTCAACGCTCATATCTGCTGCAAGGCTCCCAACTTCTCTCCGTCAAGTTGGTTCACCCAGTTAGAATCCGAGCCTTGCTTCCTGATCGTTTTACAATCTTCAAGAATTATGAATACGAATCCGTTTTCTTGATTATTGATTTTCGCTCGGAACCCAATATCAGGATTCAAGAACCAAAGGCAGGCCCAGATGCTGAAGTCACCAAAAGTAACAATCATATTACCAGCTTCACCCCCGATTCGCTCTAACACTCTCATCTGGTATTGTCCAGGAAACCAAATTCCCACCTGAATCCCCACTAAAAAACTGTTTCAGGTCACTTGTCAGGTGGAGGGCAGAAACAGGATGTTTATGGAACTTCAGTACTTTGCGCAGAACCAACCTGTATTCTGGTTCTTTTCCATCAAGATTTAAAACTCCCCCACTAGAGGCTTTACTTAGGGAGCTATCAGGATCAGAACAGTGAACCATTTGCCACACCTTGACAGCTCCACTTTGATGACCTGTGGCATACCAGTTCGTGTCCATCCAATCAGAAAATGCACTACTTGTCACAGAGAGAATAGAATCAGATGGCAGCTGGGACGTGTTGATCATTGCCAGGCAATCCCCATTGATGCTCCATATCACAAGAAGAATACCAGCAGCAGTAACAATTTCCCCAGACAAGTCATTAACAAAAAATTGCTGTGAAACTGGCAATGGGAATTCTGGGAGCTGTCGAATAAATCCCATGGAGCTAAGATCCCATATAATAACTGTGCAATCATCTGAGCCACTCACAATA